TCAACTGAATGCACTTCATTTTTAGACATGGTCAATGTATTAGGATTCGAGAAAAATCATAAAGTATACATACTAAAGAAGATAATAAGCATCGCAATTAGATCGACATATTTCATTTTTTGTAAAAGAAACAAAGATTGGGAAATGCCTGAATTAATGAGATTTTAATTTTTTTTTTCTTTTAGTATTACTATTTAGAATTTTAATAGCCACTTTTTTAATCATTATTTTTAGTGTTTGTATTTGTTTTCTACTTTGTAATTAGTATTCATTATAATGTCAATTCAAGTAGCCAGTTGTAAATTACCTTTTATAGTGAGATTTACAATTGTAAGTGAAAAAAGTAATAAAGTTTTCATTATTTCAGTTCCTTGTCAGGCAAAAAAAAACTAAACAATTCTTACCCATCCTACAAGCGTATTTTTTTCCTTGTCAAGTTAAACTTGTCATGGAAAAGAATAACTCCTGTTTAAGAAGCCTAKTGACGCACAGACAAATGTCAAAGCGTCTTTGTCTGAATTTAGAAAAATCTTTCACTTTCCTGTGCGTGTATTTGTTCTTCGTCCATTGAACGATTCATTTTATTTGYAAGCTGAGGCAGAGGTCGACATAGCAAATACTAAGTGTAAACAAGGGCCACAAAGAATGTTTGTAAACTCAGCATAGTTGACATCTTTGAAAATATTCCTTCACTTTGTGGTGGACTTTGTGTTTTCCATACGTTTAAATGAGAATGGGGTTCCCATTTCTGTAGCGCTGAAAAGAGTAAGATCTAGAGACATCCTATCTCGACATCTAATTCGAACTTTTAGTTCTGCTTTCAAGTTTTGACATCAAGATTACTGAGGTCGGCTGGTAACACTAGAGTAAATCTTGTTTTCGATTGAGAATTAAATTTAGATCTACAACTTCTTGAACTTTCTTTAATGTTGAAAAGTTATTTCCGGGAATAGTTTGGATTCAAATCGACTTACTTATGATGACTTAGACTAAAAGAGAAAGCAATTAAAAATACATCCTCTCAATCGATTCTCGAACACACAGAACGAGTTTTGACATCTCTTGTTCTTTCTAGGTAAAATACTTGATCCGACTGACACTGTGCTATGGCGAGTGAAAATTAGATTTAAGTCACTAAAACCAGAAACAGATTAATTCTAGCCAAATGGCAAAATATTAATTCCAAGGCAGCTCCATACTTTACATTCTGTTCTGTCAGTGCGATGCTCTTAATTGCTGCGATAGCCACCCATATAGGACCATATAGATATTATAAATCATGACAGAAAATAATGAATTTAAAGCTTACCATGACAGACCATAAGGGCAAACAGAACAAGGGAAATATCAAGGTTCATTCTGGAAAAGTAGCTGTTCCACTCCTTGTATCGGCGTACAAGTTGGTTATATGTTGTAGATAATTAACCAATTCTGAAATTTAATGAATAATGGTAATGAGCCGATCCACGGATTATCTTGGAAATGATGTTACTAGACTGGGGCGAGCGTTCAGGAAGACTGAAGAAGGAGAGCGCGCTGACGAAACATTCTCAACATTCTCTTACAAAAATTAGTACACTTTTCCTCATGCCACGTTCATTTTGCTTCTAAGCAAAAGTTCTCCATATCAGTAGGATTACTTACAATTTTAGTTGGTATATCTATGTCCAGACAAGTCGTGGAAACATTGCCATACGTATCTATTCTCGTCAAAACAAACTGATTMTTTTTATGTCGAGACTCGAGAAAAATATGGAAGGTCGTGGGTTCGACATGGCATACTCTTAACTGGGTTATTTAAGTTATTYTAAGAATTTGTCAAACCATGCAGTTTTCTAATATATGAATGTCATATTTTAAGGTAGGTTAGAGCAAATTGACACAAAGTCATTGAATTGAAACCCAAGAACCGCTAAACAGGGCAAAAAGACTTTGAGACCATAAAATTCACAAATTAATTGGCACATGACGAATTCACTACAAAACCACTCTGTCGATCCTTATTTGTACACACATACCTTTCCTCGAAGGTTTCAAAGCTGTGACGACTAGTATGCTGTAAAGGAATTATAGACAATACGTCTACAGAAC